ATGAGCATATATGCAACGGAAGTCTGATGAACGGACTGACTCACATAGCATCACTCCACACACATACAATCGTGAGGTGGTGGGGGTCTGAGCCATACATAGAAGATGCTCAGCCCCGTACACACATACACAGATGAATGGGGGAGGAGAGACGAAGAGGTGGGGGGAGGTAGACAGCACCGAAAGTCACCGAGATAGAATCTGATAGGTCACCGATATGGTAGTCCAAAATGTCATCCAACAAGATCAAAATGTCGAGGACCATAGGTCACCAATGTCGGGGATACAGAGTCCAAATGTAACCGGTGTCTGAACTGTGATGTCGCCAAGTATCAACCCCAACGATCTCCAAGTCTCCAATCCGGTAAGTACCACAGTCTCATACCACCGAAGTCCAACACTGACCTTTGTCCAACTAGTATAGGTCTCCGGTCTGAAGAAGAAGAAGAAGAAGAAGAAGGGGAAGAAGAAGAAGAGAGAGAGAGAGAGAGAGACGAAGGTGAGGAGGAGGGAAAGGAACCGAGGAGGGAGGAAGAGATCCCCGCCTCCTGGTACCTGCAGCTGCTGCTGCTGAGGCGGCGATGGCCGCCGTGCTGCTGCTGCTGTCCTCGCTCGCTGATGCCGCTGCGCTAGGTCGCTCTGCTGCTGCCCTTCGCTCCTGCGCTAGGAATAGCGCTCAAACGGCGCTCTGGCGCCGACCTTACCGCACCGCGTAGAGTACCGGTGGGTCGATGCCTCGAAGTGAGGCCGGACCAGTACTAAGTACTGGTTCGAAGAGGACCGGCCTCACTGCTGCGAGGCCTTGGTTGGGGCTGAACCGTCCAGATCGACGATTCAGGTCCAACCGGAGAGCGGCAGCCTCAAACGGCGCCGTCAGGCCCAAAGACGAAATGTCATTTGGGCCTGGTCCGTAGTCGGGTCCAAGTCGTGGCCTTTCGGCCTGTTATCCCCCAAGGTACCCGTGTGGCGTCGAAGATGTAACACCTCGTCTCATCCCATACCTTCTCCCTTGAGTTGGAAAGTCCTTCAATGGTTCTGCAGCATCTCTCCTTCCAAATGACCCAGGCTGAACCACAACCTCTCTGTCTTCTGACATTGATCCGGGATGTTAGTCCAGAGGAGAACTTGGATGGGGTGTTTGGGGAAAGGGGAGGGAAAGAGGGAGTTCCAAAGGGCTGAAGCCCTCGCCTCGGGACAATTAACCAGGCAATGTATTATATCCTTTTGAGCCCCTTCTGTGCAAACTGTGCATAGGTCCGTGCTGTTGGGATTGTTTCTTTGTCGTCTAATATGTAACCATTGATTCACCGGAAGGGCGGCATAGGTGATGAGCCATTGCAAACTCCTGATTTTTATGGGTCTGATGGATTTAAATTTCTTCCATGGGATCTGAGTGATCTTGTAGGCTTCTTGTCCTAGCAACTTCTGCCATCTGCTCTAAATTACAGGGTCTGGATCTTTTGTTCTTAGGAGGAGCTTATAGCCCAGTTTAACTGTGTACTCGTGGATGGGGGTATTGACCTTGATGTTCCTTTTTCTGTCAGGTGTCCAGGCCCACTCCTTCGGGTCGAATTCCAAATTACGAACCGGTGTGTCTGGTCTGAAGAGTAGTTTTGGCCAAGGCCCTAATACTCTTACTTTTCTGAGTACAAAGCAATCCATGACTGTTGATTTGACCTCTCACAACGGTTCGTACAACTGAAAGGCCCTAGTGCTTGACCCCTGCTGCATGTGGGAAAATTGAAAGGCCCTTGAGGGAGTTGTTTCTTGCACCTTCACTCCCCATTCACCGGGTTTCCAAGGCGAGGCTTCGTTCAAGAAGTCTTTCCAGTCTTGTGGGATAAGGCTAATAATGTACAGCAGGTTTAGTCCCCGTCTATGACACCCTTTCAGTTGTATGCTGAGTTCCTGTTCAGTTATCCATTCTTTTGTTTCTTGATTCCATAAGTGGCAGACCTTCCATACCCCATTTTTGACCCATGATAACCATTGGTGTTCCAACTGAAGAGGATTGTCCCCTTCACCCATCACCCATTGGTTGCCGAACAGCGGTTGCCTCAGAACCTCATCTTTGGACCGTGGTCTGTTGGTCTTTTTTGGCAGGATTTCCCTCCATATCCGAAGCAGCGCCGTCCAGTATGGGGTGGGAGATCTGGCTCCGTCTATACCGACCCCTCTTCTTAGATTTCTCCGCCACGCTCTCAGGTTCCGCTCCTTAATCATTACCCAAAACAGTCCCGTCATGTCATCTGGCGAGGCTACAGGAGCCAGCGCTCTGATGCTATCCAAAGCTAGTTTGTTCCACGCGTTATCCGGCTTCATCAGGAGTTTGATTATCCGCTTGGCTTGAAGGGCACCTTTTGTAAGCGTCTACTAAACAGCACAGTAAAATTCTTTTTATTTGTGTTCAGTGTGTGAACAGTCTGACAAATAAAATCTGAGAACATTATGGCCACTGAGGACGAGGCTAAGGGCCCTGCTGAAGGCGGGGAGACGTCTGCGAAGCTTGAGCCAGGCAAGGAAGATCAGAAACCCATGACTGAGGAAGAGCTCGTGGACGCAGCCCTGAAAGCAACAGAGAAAGCTGCTGCAGATGCAGTTCGGGAAGTAGAGAGATTAAAGAGGGAGAAGGCAGAGGCAAATAGGAGAGGAGAAGCAGCAGCCAGAAGATCTGAGCTGCTTGACACTATTGCCAAGGTCCCTGCTGACGCCCGTGTGGCTGATGTCACGCGGAATCTTGCAGAATTGGTACTGCTGGAATCCGCTCACAACCGGGATGTTTCACATCCTGGGATGAACGGATCTCAGCAGTTGAGTCCCAGTTGTCATCTATTGATAAAAAGCTGGAAAAGTTATCAGCAAAGTTCTTCAGGCATTTCCCTCCTACTCCTGTACCCTCTCCTCACCCTACTATCCCTCCTCTTCTTATCCCTCCTCCAGCACCCACACCACAATCATCCTATCCTGGCTCTCCCAAGAAATACCACCTTCTCCAAAAGAGAAGGTGGCACAGGTCTCTGGGACTGTGCCCACAGGGGAACCGAGTTCCAGCACTGTTTACTGCAGGCCACATGGTTTGTCAGGGCTGCTCCAGAGACATATGCCAAGGCCCTGTTTACTGCAGGCCACAAAGACTGGCGGTCTTTTGGCAGGGCAGCGCTAGACATGGAGGTCACACTCCATCTCCAGACCTCTTCCCAGAACAGGAGAAAGGGAAAGGGAGGATTGTATGCTCCAGGATCTGATGATGACTCTGCAGGCTCTGATCAGGGAGGATCTGTTCCCTCAACTGGTCTACATGCAGGAGCCACACCAGATCAGGCTGCCCGACTCTGATGAGCCAGATGTAAGGCAAAAGTCAGTTTCAGCCCCAAAGGTCCTCCAATCCTAAGGGTTCAGGCAAACACTCAGGTGGCCCTCAGGTACCCAATCTTCCAAAGGGTGCCCCCCGTCCAACTAATCCCATGGATCCTAGGCAAGGGCTCTGAACTCTTCCTAGTGATCTTGTTCAGGCCCCTAATCCCACTTTCCCCTGGAGAAGTTTCAAGATTGCTGAGGGGACTCAACAGAAAAGGAGGAATCAGGGAGTTTACCTCAGATGTGCTAAGAAGCACTTTGTGAAGGACTGCCCCACTTGGGGCACTAACAATTCAAAAAACTAAACAGGCCAGCAGTCACCCCTGCTGAACTGCATTCACCCTCTTTTGAAGGTGAATCAGTCTTTGAGCCTGATCGCGTATGGAGGCTGCAACTGACTCTTTGTATGCGTACACTGAGCCTTTCTTGGATGAACCCTTACCTGAGGAAGAGACTGATCAGATCTGCTCCCTTCATCTCCAACTGAAGGAGAAGAGAAAAGGGAAGTCAAATCTGATCTTTCTCAAACCTCTAATTAGCAGAACCCGAATCAAGGCGTTGTTAGATTGTGGTGCTACACAAAATTTCATCTCCCCTACAGGAGTACAGAAACTCCACTTGGGACTCAAGGTCTCAGACCTTGAGCATCGCTTATGCATACAGGTTGGGAATGCCTAGTCTTTCACAGTCCAACAGGTTATCAAAGGTGTGTCAGTCACCTTTGATGCCAAAGGAGAAGTCAGACATAGCTTGAACTTCTAAGTGTTTCCACACTTGCCTCTTGATCTGGTTTTGAGCCTAAAATGGTTAAGGGCAACTAATCCATGCATTACCTGGGTTGTGCCCAGCCTAAAATGGTTAAGGGCAACTAATCCATGCATTACCTGGGTTGTGCCCAGTATTCAATTAAAGATTGAACGAGGTGAGCTTAAACCTTGTGTCTTAGCCGGTGATTTTAACGCTACCCCTGACAGGTGGCTGGACAGATGGAACCCCCAGGACTCCCCCTCCTTCGCTGCGGTAGAAGATGAACAAATGTTTGCCGATCTCGGTGCGTCCCTTTCGGTTTTCGACACCTTTCGCCGCCTGCATCCCCAAGAACGGGCCTTCACATGTATACGTAACAGCGACCCGGCACGACTATCGAAATCTCGCATTGACCTAATCTTACTCTCCAACGACTTAGAGGCAGCACTACGCTGGGCTCTAATCCTCCCACGTAGTCCCCACCCGGGGCTGGACCATAAAACCTGCGGTATCATTCTAACAATGAGAAAGAGACCCGATCAAGGACCGGGCTTTTTCAAATTAAATACCTCCTTGCTTAAAGATTCCTCTTTTGCACATATGGTTCGCTCAGAATGGGAATTCTGGGGTCGTCAAAAACACCTGTTTGACTCTCATATTGTGTGGTTTAACAATGGTCTTATATTTCTAGCCAAAAAATGCAACGAGTTTGCCAAGGCCAAAGCTGCCCTAAGACAACAGCAGGAAATGACAGCACACAACCAACTCATATCACTAGAACGACAGGCAGAAGCACAACACCCTAACCCTTCTCCTCAGGAATGGCAACAACTCACTTCCTCCATTCAAAAAGCCAAAGACCAACTGCCGCAATACGCACTACATAGATGGCAAGGAATTAGCATCCAAGGTAAAATGTCCAAACTCACTCACGATGCCTTAATGGACACTTATTTCTTTTCGATAGCCACCGCCTGTTCACAAAGGACGGTCATTGAGGCCTTTTATGACCTGGACGATAGCAACATCATTGCCACAGACACAACACACTGTACACCAATTACCATGACATTCTTTAAACAACTATACACATCCAATATCTCATCCCCTCACGGGGAAGAACGAATCAAAGAAATACAAAACTTCCTAAGGCCAATGGACCGACACTTATCCGCATGCCAACACGACAGGCTGGAGAGGGAGCTAACGAAAGAAGAAGTGTGGGCAGCACTTCTTCAGATGAGGGAGGAGAAAACTCCTGCATAGATGGTTTTCCCAAAGAATTCTGGGAAGCCACATGGACGGATCTGAGCACTGACTTGTGGGATTATTATCAGGAAGTTTGGGAAACCGGCTAATTGGGGGAAACTGTGGGGAAAGGTGTACTATCCCTTCTGTATAATAAGGTGACAAAATGAATATAAGGAATTACAGACCTATCACTCTCTGTGGTTTATAAAATGCTTTCTAAAGCACTAGCCAATCGCATGGCGGCAGTTTTGGAGGACGTCATACATCCGGCACAAACTGGATTTATGTGAGACAGGAACATACAAGAAAACATCTTGCTAGTCAACGACGTGGTGCAGCTAGCGCGACGACACCGGGCCAATGCGGCCATTATCTTCATAGACTTCGAGAAAGCCTATGACCACGTTGACTGGGACTTCCTAGACAGATGTCTGGAAAGAATGAACTTTGGTCCTGTCTTCCGGCGATGGATTAAGATCCTCCATACTCAGGCCACTACCTGTTTTCAAGTCAATGGGTCAGTCGCCCCTCCGTTTGAACTTCGGCGCTCGGTAAGGCAAGGAGACCCGATTGCCCCCTACCTCTTCTTAGTGATAATGGAGGCACTGTCAGCTAACCTTCGCTATCACAAGGACCTTACCCGAATAAAGATATCCAACATCCCCGAAGAAGCAATCCCTATCTGCTCCCTTTTCGCAGACGACCTCACCATAATGGTCGAGGCAACAGAATCCAACATAATGGAAATCCAATTGCTCATGAGCAAGTTTTGCCTGCTATCGGATATGTCTGTGAATTGGGGACAAAAGACGATTGGATGGTGGATGCACCATCAAGGAGGTAGACCCCCAGAAATGTCGCAGATCTCATGGCGTCCCCATGAGGACCCGCTAAGAATCCTAGTAGCACTAGTCACCGTAAACGGAAAACCACCATCTAATGACGATTGGTTGGCTGGACCACCACTGACCAAACTGGAGAAATGGAACAACAAACGCACCTCCATCTTTGGGCGAGTGCTGGTGATAAATAATGTAGTCCTAGCCACCCTATGGTATAAAGTTATTCTATGGCCCCTGAGTGCAGGGGGGATTAAGACATTGAAACAGCAGCTAGCGGCTTTCCTCTGGAGAGGAGATAGCAACGAGTCCCACGCTATAAGTCGAGTGGCATGGGAGTCAGTGATTCAGCCCCAAAACGGGGGAGGACTGGGCATTGTGGATCCAGCCACACAATTCCAAGCCCTTACGCTTCGCTGGCTTCAACATATTATTTTCTCTCCATCATCCCCCTGGGTCCCCCTGGCTCTAGCACAAATTTCAGATCTGGCCCCGGAATCCCCACCTGAGATCGATCCTAGAGTTTGGCTAGAGGACAGGTATTGGAGGTTACCAAGAAAATATAGGAACGGGGACCCTTCTGACAAACAACGGGTGCGCCTCATACGCACTTGGAGGAAACTTCCCCCTCCACTTCGATCAACACCAGAGAGGTGGGAAGAGATATCCAGGCAACCCCTGTTCGGCAACCACCTAATAACAGATTCTGGAGGGCGCGTGCGAAACAGCTCGGAGGCTCCATGGAAAGGATGGGTAAAACATGGGGCCCGGAGGGTCGGGGATCTTTGGGATAGGAAGGCCGGCAACTGGAAGAGCATAGGAAGGATGCGTACATGGCTGCGGTACTGCCATCTCACTAAGAAAGCACTCAACGATCTCATCGAGAGCTTCCCTCTCCATTGGTTCACCATCCTCAGGAAAGGTCCATGTTTAAAGGAAGGGGACTGGGTGGGGTTACCCGAC